CCTTGAGCGACTCGCAGTTGAAGTGCGCTACCGCCTTCGCCTTGACCGTGTCCCCCGTCACTATCCTGCGGCTATTTCCACGCACACTGGGCTCTGACCTCACCAGGTTCCTGTGCCTCATTGCTTCGTGGCTGAACCCGAGGGCATGCGCCAGCTCGTGTGCGGCGACGCGGACGCTCCACGCCGAGTCGGTCATGTACGCCGGGTTGAAGTTCATGGCGCCGACGGAAGGGCGGAAGTCCTCCAACGTGGCGCAAGTGGCGGCCCACGCCGGAATGTTATGACCGAGTGGCCCGGCAGCAGCGTAGAGAACCATGTCGGCACCAGCCACACCCCCGCTCCTGTGCTCAGTTGGAATTGTAAAGTGCTGGCAGTGTCCTGTCAGAACTCGCGGCAGTTCAATTTTACCAGCCACTGGCTGCACGAGAAGTCGCTCCGCGTGCAGCTTGACGGCCCCGGGAATAATCTTCGTCGTATACAACTCCTTCTTTTGCTCCGTCAGTACATGATCGGCTTTGCAAGTTATCGTTTCCCCCAAGTAGTTCATGCACTGGACCCCCGCTTCTTCGCAGTACCTCTTCCTCCCTATCTTCGGAGTTTTCTGCTCCAGGTCCCTCGTGGACACCTCGATGCGGATGGGCGCCCAGCCCTCGCTGCTCGTTCCTTCTGCCGCCGCTGCCGCTGCGACGGTGTACGCCTGCGCCGCGCCCTGCCCCCTCCGCGGCACCTCACGCACCACCGCCGCCGCCGGCCGGCCCCTCCTCGGCACCGTGTCGTCGAACACACGGCGGCCCGCAGCGGCGCGGCACCCGCCGGCGCAGTGCATCACGAGCAGCAGGAGCAGCAGCAGTGGGAGAAACGGCGCGGCGCGGAGTCGGCGGTGCATGGCTTGCGAAAAGCGTGTGTGTGCCTGAGTTTGGTGAAGAATGACTGCAGTGGTGGTAGCGCAGCGCTTGTCTGCGGGAGAGGAATGATAAGAGGAGGAGGAGGAGGCAAAGCCACACATCCCCGCGGCGCCGCGGCACGACGGATTTTGGCGCCTCCGCCTCCGGGCATTTACTCCCGTCCGCCGCACGGACGGCGCTGAGCAGGCAGAATCACTGGACAAAAAAAAACAGCCGATTGAATCCAAAAGAAAGTTGCCCTCCTCCTTTGCAGAGTGCATCGCACACACACGGGCTGCAAAAAGAGTACAGGCACCCAAACCAACACAAACACAAGCAAAGAAACAAACAAACCCGTGAAGTGAAGCCGAAGCGTGGGGGCGCGTCCACCGGGCAGTGGGGACGCGCAGCAACACGTGGGACGACCAGCACACACACTCCATTTCTCTCTGTTCCCGCACAGCCCAATCCAGGAAGAGATAGAGAGAGAGATAGAGAGGTCGCCCACTGAAAGCAATGGAAACAAACAATCAATTAAAGAGGATAGAAACAGTTACGGTGCTGTACCCATGCAGCCAAGCAGGACGGCAGCGGCTCGTCGGGTGCAAAAACAAAAAGAAAACCGACGGGCCTGCATGAGTGGAGTTGTGTATATATACGAGCACATTATGTGTGTGTGCCTCGTGGAGAAAGGCGAGGGCGAGAGAGTCCGTGCAGGGGGACACACACACACACGGAAATAGAGAAAGAAACAGAAAAGGGCGAGTTGTGTGTGCACGGCCCTCTCTTCCACACTCAGTTCCTCACGCGGCCAGCACCGCTGCGGCAGCCGCACACGCAAGCAGAAGAAGCAGCGCAAGGGGGGAGGCGGAGTGCGCGGCCGCGGTGCTGCTGCCGTCGCTGTCGCCAGACACCGCCTTCGTTGCACTCGTCGAGTTGGTGGTGGTGGTGGTCGCCGCTTGAGCAGCCGTCCCCGCTGCCGGCTGAGTGGCTTCTCCTCTCTCGCCACTCGTTTCCGTTTCTTGCTTGGGTGTGGGCACTGCGGGCTGCTCTTGTTCTCGCTGACCAGCTTCGTTTGTCCCCACGGAACTCGCCGGCTGCGGCTGCACCGCGGGGCTGCTGTCGCTGATACTCCCGAGGTTATTACTTTCCCCGCCACCGGGAGTGTCTTGTGCCGCATCTGAAGCTTCCCCAGCGACTGCCGTAGCTGCGGGGGTATTGTCGCGCTGGACCGGGCTTCGTTGCACCGCGCTCTCAGGCGGTGAAGCCCCGGCGGCGTTCCCCACCGTGCCCTCTTGAGTCGGACTGTCGACAGCAGGCACGCCCCCAGCTGTAGCAGAGGACAAGGCTGTTTGTTCTCCTCCGCTCTCCGGACTCAAGTGATCCCCTCCACCTGCGGTGGGCGCGGCCCCAGGAACGGCTGTGGAGGGACCGCCGGCTTCCTGCGCCCCGTGCGCTCGCACAGGCGACTCCTCTGCGTTTCTTTGGGTAGCACCACCCGGTTGAGAAGGCGCTGCAGCACTGTGACCCGTCCCGGCACGTGAGCCACCACCCTGATCATCACCAACGGCAGCTTGGCGCCGCAACTCCGCACCACACGGACCGCCCTTCTCAAGCTCAGTGGCATTCCTCATGGCTCGCGCCACAAACTCCGTGTTGCGGCCACAGTACTCTTGGAGAAGTTCTGTGTAACATTTCTCGGGTTTAACCGCCTTCAAAAGCGTCCAATGCTCATCTTTGCAGTACTCCATAGGCCACGCCCAGCCCCCGCCGGCGGCGCAGCACAGCGCGCAGAGGGCGTACACCAACAGCGCACGGCCAGCCATCGCCACTCCTCCCACCGCAGCACACACACACACACACGCACAGCGTCTAGCGAGGGGCAGAAAGAAGGAGAGAGAAGAAAAAAAAGGGACAAACACACACATACAGATATGAGCAGCCCGCGGAATGGGTGCATTCAACCAACACACACACAAACGGAGAAAGAAGGGACGGTCGAGGCATTGCCGTCCCGCTAAGGGAGGAAAAACAGAAGCAACGGCAGAAAACGGTTTGGTGAACTTTCCTCCGCATGTGCCCTCACGATAGTCCGCAGCGGGGCTCAAGGGCCCTTTTTTCCCTCCAGCCACACGCACACACACACGGAAGAAGTGGACGTGCCGGTGGCCCCCCACCCCGCCCCTCCCGCAGCCCCCTTCGCAGCGCCCACGCCGTTTGCTCCCCGACCCCGCGAACTCCCCTCCCCTTCGCAGCGCCCACGTCGTTTGCTCCCCACCCCGCGAACTCCCCTCCCCTTCGCAGCGCCCACGTCGTTTGCTCCCCACCCCCCGCGGCACTCACCAGCGGCCGCCGCGAAAAAAAAACGTCATCGACGGCAGCCGCCCCCTCCCCCACCGAAGCGCCCGCAGGCGCACTGCAGCGGCGAAGCACGTGCACGAGCGCCGTGCCGGCGACCGCCACTTCCCCCGAGTCCTCCGGCAGCCACGCCCCCCGCCCGTGCACCGCCGCACCCGCCGCAGCCGCAGGGCGCACGCATCATGCGGGAAGCCGTGCGAAGTGACGCTGCCTCCCGCAGGCGTCGTGCAGTTTCTGTTTTCTTTTTTTTTGACTCGGCGTGACTGTCTGCGGCGACGGATGAACCCCTCGCGGCCGCACTCCCCTCACACGCACACACGCAGAGAAGTGTGGGGGCGAGGCGCAAAAGAGAGCCCCGCACACACGCCGCGGCAGGCGGCACGGCGCAGGCGAAGTGCGACGCCCCCGTCCTGCGAGGGGGAAGACACACTAAGAAGCCGGCCGCACAGCGCCCACCCAACAAGGCACGTGACGAGAGGGACGGGGCGCGTCCAAAACCCGCCGCACAGCCTGCCGCTGCTCTGCCGCAGCGGAGAACAAAAAAAAGAGCCGTCGTCGCCGCAAACTAAAGTTGCCTCTAGCGGGAAGGAGGAGGAGGAGGAAACGGGGGCGTGTCGGCGGCACAGCCGGCGGCGGAGAAAACAAAACACGGAGACACGCAGCGACACAACGGCGGACACGGCGCACCAACTCAACGTGAGCCGCAGTGAGTTGCCCCAACGAAATAAAATAAAACAAAGGAAAAGAAACGGAAACCCCG